ACTGTATTCTTTTCTGTCATCTGCTGGAGCGCAAGGGAAGTTGACTGACCAAGGAAGTAATTCGCTTACATATTAGCTGTGGCTAATTTGAAGACACTGGCATATAATTCGCCTACATTATGTACTTGGAGCCAAAATTTTGGAGATTAACCTGTTGGGAACCACCTGGGTTTGGGGTCACACTGGTGAAGACTGATGTTTGCCAAGCCTGGGTAAGAGGCCCTAGGTAAAGCCTAAGTTCAAGGGGAGAGAGACTGCACATTCCTGGCTTGTTAGTGGAAATATTCCTCCGGGCAGTAGGTATTCTACTGTGTCCCTTAGAATTAGATCACTGATCCCTTTGCTCCTAAAACAGATGAGCTAAGAGCTGCAGTTGCCTTACGTAGAGAGAGCTCAACAATGGTTCCAGTAACCTGGCCAGGGGCAAGTAGAAGACAGAGCCCAGTTGCAGTTCCAGTCACCTGGCCAGGGGCAAGTAGAAGACAGAGCCCAGTTGCAGTTCCAGTCACCTGGCCAGCAGTGAGTAAAGTGGCAGCTTGGCCCACCAACAACCTCCAGCAGGAAAATGCAGATAGAGCAGTTGTGAGGACTATAGCAGGGGTCGGCAACCTACAGCATGCATGCCAGACACGGCACGCGAGCCGATTCTGAGTGGCACACTGCAGCCCACCGAGAGGAGGAGGAGGAGGGGTGGAGGGGCCGGAATACACCACGCTGTGGGAAGAAGGGGGAGGGGGAGGGGGAAGCTTGGCTGCCGTAGGATCAAGCTTCCCTTCTCCCCCGCTTCTTCACACAACGAGGTGCATTCCGGCCCCTCCTCCTTCCAGAGGAGCAGAGCCGAGCCGTAGAGCAGGCAGAGAGAGGTAGGGCCGGGCCTGGGGGAAGGGGGTGGAACAGGTCATATCCCTCCCAGCCCCCTGCCATGAGCCGCTCAGGGCAGGGGGCTGGGAGCACCCCCACGAGCCGAGCACCCCAGTCTTCTGCCCTGCACCTCCCCACCCCAACACACACCCATCCCTCTGCCCTGCACCCCCCCACACACCTCCCAGCCCTCTGCCCTGACCTCGAGTTGCCCAACACCCAGCCTTCTGCCCTGCACCTCCACACCCCCCAGCCCTCTGCCCTGACCTCGAGTTGCCCAACACCCAGCCTTCTGCCCTGCACCTCCCCACCCCCCACCCCCCTCCCCCGCCCCCGACGTC